TATTACTTTTATCAGATCCTGCCCTTGAGCTCCTTATGATGAAATGGGAAGCAACATGAAAGACCAGAAGGTGCATACCAGAGGACTCGGTTTGTTTGTTTCAGTCCAAAACTTAACTAGCCACTTCTTTCATGGAACACCATTTTTATTTGAAAGAATAACTGATAGACTGTGGATACTCCCTTGGGTACTTGGTGGACATTTTCTTGATCATGTTCTTGGTGAACCTGCCATTTTAAGGAAAACTGCTCTTTTCCCAATGTGAGATTGGAGCTTTCAAGTAATAAATAGAATTTAGAAAAAGTTTTACCCACCACTCTGAGCTTAACAGCTTCTATACATTAACAGACTTTTCTTACGAGATGTATGGTAATACTAATAAATGTGATTAAAAAAAAAACTATTAATATTTGGAAGATCTGCAAACCTTTTTGTTGTTCAGTCACTAAGTTGTGTTTGACTCTTCGCGACCTCATGGACTGCAGCACACCAGGCTTCCCTGTCCTTCACTGTCTCCCAGAGATTGTGCAAACTCATGTCCGTTGAGTCCATGGTACTATCCAACCATCTCATCCTCAACCTTCTCTTGCCCTCAGTCATTCCCAGTATTAGGCTCTTTTCCAATGAGTCAGCTCTTTGCATCAGTTGGCAAAAGTATTGGAGCTTCTTGACCGACTGTTTTCCATCTTAACAAATGTATGACAAGATCATGAGTGGAAAATCCATTCAAAAACCAATAAGATTTTAATGTACAAAAGTCCAAAAAATCATTGATAAGGTAACAGTCTCATGTTGAGTTTTGGTGTAGTATCAAAAAGAATATCCGTAATTGTCAAAAAGATTAGTCAGATTGTCTTTCCTTTCTTAGTTATGTATCTGCGTGAGATTAGTTTTATTTTTTTTTTCATATACTTTAATCAGAAGAACTCATTGCAGCAGACTGAATGTGGAAGCAGATACAAGAATCTAGCTGTCTCCTATTACGTCAGATCTTAAGGAGATTTGTGAGAATGTAGAACAGTGCTTCTATTTTCATTGGTTTTTTGTTTAAATAAAATTTTTTTTCATAAGAATGTGTTATAAGTCTGTTATTACACTAAAATAAATAAGTAAATATTTTGAAATTTTTCAAAAATATAGCTTCCTTAAGACTTCAATAACTTTAGAATGTAAAGGTTACCTAAAACCAGAAAGTTTGAGATTTGCTGTATTAAGTAAAAGGAAAAATGTAGTAGTCAGCATAAGATAACTGAATGTTTTCTACATGCTGTTGATATTGCATTTAAATAATTCTGGTGATTTTTATCAAGTTGTGCATTCTAGCAGTGTAGAAATACTCATGTAATCAAGGAATTTCCCATTTGCCTTGAATGAGTAGTAATGCCAGACAGGTACCGTATTCAATACTGGGAGAATACAGAAAAGGGATGAAATCTAAGTTTCTGTACTAGACAGTTCCAGAATGGGTGGAGGTAGATGTCCATTACTCATGGCAGAATGTCACCTGCTGGCACGAGGTGGGGACCTCAGAAGGAGCAGTTGGGCAGGGAGCTGGCAGCCGAGGACCTTTGAACACAGAGCTTGGCTGCTGTTGGGAGAAGGAAGGGCTGAGATGTTCCGGGGATTCCAGATCTAGCTGAATACTGGCAGTTTCCCAGGAGGAAGCCTACTTTTTCCTCTTCATTTTAGTTCATATTCTGACAGTTTTTGTGTTAGATGCATCCAGTTTTCTTTAATAAGGTATATCACTATCTACCTTTTTCTCTTGGAATTAAAAATATTTCTGCAATGTATTCTCTATCTGTGAGTTCCTGGAGATGGTAGGCTTATGCCATTGTCTTGTCTGTTTACCTTGGATCCTAATCTTGCTCAAATACAACTTTGTTGTATCTCTTGCTGGGAATCCCTAATGTTTAAAAATTGCATGTTATAAATACCTTTTTTTAAAAATTGATTTTTAATTTTAAAGGATTCTTTGCTTTATTTTGTGCTTTTCGGTCTGCTCATTAATAAGTACCCTTCGTTGACATAAAAGAGAGAAATAGATTTCTCATTTTGGCTCCTAAGAGACCCCAACATTTTTTTTTCTCACTTGTGTCATTATTAGCAGTATTAACAATTATTAGTCTCCTATTTTTATACAAATAAGTGGGACATAAGGAGTTATTTATGAAGTATTTGTGGGGTTTTAGTATTGGGGATTTCTTCGGTAGCTCAGCTGGTAAAGAATCTGCCTGCAATGCAGGGGACCCTGGTTCAATTCCTGGGTTGCAAAGATCCACTGGAGAAGGGATAGCTACCCACTGCAGTATTCATGGGCTTCCCTGGTGGCTGAGACGGTAAAGAATCCGCCTGCAATGTGGGAGACCTAGATTCGATCCCTGGGTTGAGAAGATTCCCTGGAGAAAGAAACAGCTACCCACTCCAGTATTCTGGCCTGAAGAATTCCATGGACTGAGAAGCCTGACAGGCTATCATCCATGGGGTTGCAAAGAGTCAGACTTGACTGAGCGTCTTTCAGTTATTATGACACAGTTTTTGGTTTTTTTTTTCTTTAAGATTTTTGATGTAGACCATTTTTAAAGTCTTTATTGAACTTGTTACAATGTTGCTTCTGTTCTATGCTTTGTTTTTTCGGCTGTGAGGCATGTGGGATCTTAGCCCCCTGACCAGGGATCCAGGCTACAACCCCTGTGTTGGAAGGCAAAGTCTTAACTGCTGGACTGCCAGGGAAGTCCCTGTGGCACAGTTTTGAGCTAAATATAATACTGGATTATTAAAATACTAAAAGAAACAAGCAAAACCCCCGCCTTTGAAATAAAAATGAACCAATTTTGTCCTGAAATTATCCAGGACTTAGCAGTGTGTGGCAGTGATGGGAAGATGCTTCCATAACCAACCACTTGAGAACCCTGGCCCAACATAGACCTTCTAGAAGAACCTGAAAGTTGAGCTGTGGGATACGCATTGCTAGGCGGGCTGTGGCTGAAATTTTCTGAGATGATACATTTGGGCCAGACCTATTTCTAGGCAGGCAAGTCTTTGAAAAGTATTTAGAAATAGAGGAGAGAGCTTTTGGCAACGAGTTTTTGCTTTTAGCTAGTTACAGAACAGAACTGGTGGGTAACACTGACTGCTTTTTTTTTTTTTTAAGAAGTACTCAGATTAAAATAGCCTCATGGCCTGTGTGGCTCCTCTACATGCTTCCTAAAACAGCTGTTCGTGATCCTACGTAAAACCCCTGGGACGTCAGCTCTGCATCTCGGGTGGCTAGTAAGTTGAAGGCAGCTCGTCATGCAAGCCTTTCTCCCACCCCTGCCTCTGTCCCTGTTTTTCAGTTTCCTGCCTCAGCGGGGTTTTGGTCCCACTTGGGAATCCGCCTCTGCCCTGATTTTGGGCTCCTCATCTGCTTTAGGACTCGCTGGAACTTCCCCCCTTCCTGAAGCCTGCCTAATTCTGATCACTCCCCTGAGCATTTCTACCGTTCTCCTGAAATGAATTGGGCTTATGAACATATTGATTGGACCTGTTCTGGTGTCTGGGGCACACCTGCTGCCTCCCTAGCTAGATGGATTGTGGATTGTGATGATCTTAAGGATCAGACCACTTTGTTTTTGTTGGTCTTCTCTCTGGCTTTGTCATACTTGCTGCCCTCTTTGCCAAAATAAGACTTCATGAGAAAAATTGTTAGGTTGAAGGAAGTGCTGGACCTGAAAGAAATGAGTTTTTCTGAAATTCATTTTATAGCTTCAAAGCCAATGGGGTGTGTGTGTGTGTGTGTGTGCACGCGCGTGCAGGGGTGGTGGGGGTATCAGATTCATGGGAGAAAAGCCAGAGACTGGGCTTGCTTTTTGGTCTTGGCTGCTCTGCTCTTCAGCTTAGTCCAAGTCAGCAGATAGTCATTGAGCAGCTCTTGTTGCAGAAAAGCCTTCTCTGCCCAATAATGAAAACTCACAGGTGACTGTAAGACTCAGTTAGGATGTATCATTGGGCAGGGAGAGGGTTTCCCTGAGGGAGTCCACAGATGGCCAGGGTCAACAGGGTCGCGGAGCTCTGGGAGGCGGGATCTGCATTTCTTCACCCACAGTATATACGCGTTGCATGTCCTGTGCAGGGCCTGGCATGAATAGACCTTCAGTGAATGTTTCCAGGAGTGGAAAGGGGAAGATACCCAACACTTTTAAGATGTGTGAGGTGACATGGGAGGAGATAAAGAAAGGTTTTGGTGTAATGCTGGTTTTCTGAAGGAGCCTGGGTGGTTTGGGTTTGGCACCAGGGAGGGTGAGTGCAGCAGGTGCAGTGAGAATGTCATAGGAAGAAGACGGTCCTTCACCTCCTGGACCTGTTGGGCTCACCCCCGCACATCCCTGGACATCTCTGCTCTACTTCACTTTGTTAAGAAGGCCTATTCTGACTGCCCTGTATAAGGAACTGTAAAAGCTCATTCTTCACCACCCCTTTAGTTCCATGACCCATATTAGCACCTGACCTATTATTTGTTCTTTTGCTTTTTAATCCAAATGAGAATGAAAATTCCCATAAGCCAGGAATATTATTTTCATTACTTTATCCCCAGTACCCAGGACAGTTCCTGTCTTGCAGTAGGTACTTAATATTTGTTGAATGAGAGAATGAATGAATGACCCAGTGTGTACACTAGGAATCATAAACTATCTTGTTTATATTTTAATTAAATTTATAGTAGGGCACCCTGAAATATTTTGAAAAGAAGACACATATATTGCGATTTGTACTATAGGAATGTCCATCTCTCTGTGGGATGAAAGAAGGATGATATAGATACTCAAGGCAGGAAGCTGTAGTAAAAGGGCTTTTAGAAGAAAAAGGTTGCATGTGGGGTTGGGGCGGAAGTGTATATGTGCAGGCAACATTACAAATAGTGGGGAAGCTAATTCTTCCTGCGTTATGCCTCTTGAAAACATGTGCTTTTTTATGTCAGAACTGTGCTCTGCTAACCTGATGTGCTCTTTTCATGACAGGAGGCTGAACAGTACCCAGGGCGAAATTCGTGTTGGTCCTAGCCATCAGGTAAAGTGAATTTTAGTAACTTCTTTAATAGGTTTTTATTTCTTATTATTCAGCTGGTCCTTTATTCTGTTGAGTAGCAACTTAGAACTGTTTTTATGCTATTTGGAATTTTATATAAATGCAGAGATTTATTTTTTAAAGACTACCACATGCTTTAAAAAAATTACGGTAAAGTATATACAATCTAAAATGAACCATTCTGACCACTTTAAAGTGAATGGTTCAGTGCCCATAAGTATCTTCACATCGTTGTGCAGCCAATCCCCAGAACATATTCAGCTTCCCAATCTGAAACTCGGTTCCCATGAAACAGTAACTCTTCATTCTCCCCTCCCCTCATTCCCTGGCCACCTCCCTTATCCTTACTGTGTCCACAAATCTGACAGCTATTAGATACCGTATCTCAGTGGAATCAGCCAGCATCAGCCCTCCTGTGTCTGGCTTGTTTTCTTAGCATAAGGTCTTCAGGGAGCGCCCACATTGTAGCATATGTCAGAATTTGATTTCTTTTTATGGCTGAATTATTCATTGTATATATGGTTGTTAATCTGCCAGTGAACATTTGGTCACTGTGGGCTTCCCTGGTGACTCAGCTGATAAAGAATCCGCCTGCAATGCAGGAGACCTGGGTTCGCTCCCTGGGTTGGGGAGATCCCCTGGAGAAGGGAAAGGCTACCCACTCCAGTATTCTGGCCGGAGAATTCCATGGACTGTATAGTCCATGGGGTCACAAAGAGTTGAACACGACTGAGTAACTTTCATTTCACTTCATGCTTTCATTTAGCTTTTTAAAAACCCCATTTCCTTCAGAAAAGTCAAAGTGATTAAGATGTTTGTCAGCCATAAGCTTGTTGTGTCATGACCTGTGTTCTTCCATGTTGTATTGAGCTTACTAAGACTCTGCTGTTCTGTTTGTCATCTTTTTTTTTTTTTAATTTTATTTTTTTCTCTGTCTGTCATCTTGTCTTTTGATCTCTATATCAGGTAGGATGCTTTGACAGATAGGGCCAGAACACTCTGGCTGAACATGGCTGTTCATGGTCTCACATATCATCACGTCTGGTCAGAGAGGACCAGGCTCCACTCTGCTCCTCTCCAGTTGTTGTGATTTGGTGTTCAGCTATACCCATGGCTGCCTTCTTCCTTAGCCCAGAAGCTGGACTTGATTCTAAGATATACTTCTTCTGTTCACATTATCTCTGATATCAAGCTTCATTGTACATCCTGCGGTGTGATTATAATTTAATTGGTAGCATTTCTTCTTTCTGAATGCATTTAATAGTGGTTCTTACAGTGAGTGAAAATGCAGCAAATGTTGAGAGGAGGGAAGGGATACACACCGCTCTTCTTTCCCTTTAGAAGAAGGAAGATTTTCCTGGAAGGTCTCCATTAGTCCCCACATGTAATTGCCATGGGTGGGTCATGTGCCTATATCTAGACTTGGGAAAATTGTTGTATTTTAGCATGACTGGCTTGCCCCTTGAGTTGAAATGGATGTTGATATTGAGCCATGGTAGCCATTACATCCTAGAGACATGATGTGGTGTCACGTGAAGAGGCAAGAAGAGTTACTAACTGGAGGAGGGAGAAGGGGAGATGGGAGATGGTAGAGCTGAAGGATCGTCATCAGTAGGAGATGGAGGGCAAGCTGCAATGTCACTCACACCTGCCATCGATGGCTCTTGTTCCTTGCTGGAACCAGATGCATGTTCTCATCTTTGAAAGTCTGCAGCTGGAAGATTCATATGTAGGGGACTTTCTGTATGTAGACTCACTGTCTAATTGTACTTGTTACTTAGGTTCACACTTTAAGATGGTGATATGCTAATCCTGTCATCCCTTCCTTTATTGGCTGATCAACTTTTCTCTTGTCAATTTTTGATTCCCTGAAACACATAGGAAAGGCAGGATATATGCTTGAATCTTTCCCTCTTTTTACCAGTTGGTTCTCTAACAACTTCCAGTAGTCATCAATGGGTTTAAAATTACTCACATGCTAATCAGATGTTATTCTTACTGATGAGATTAAATTATCCTTTTGGGGGCTAGTAGGTGCCTTTTCCTGTTGTCTTCTGTGTCCTTTTCACTGGACCCCCATGATCTTTGGTTTAGAGTATATTACTTAGTATGACATGGTATTTTTTTGTCTCCTTGTATATGTTCTCTGCCCTAGATCTAGAACTAAACTTTTGTGATGATCCCTCATTGTTTTAGTATAGGGCTTCCCTGCTGGCTCAGATGGTAAAGAATCTGCCAGTAATGCAGGAGACCTGGCTTCGTTCCCTGGGTTGGTTAGTGGAAAGTGACATTTTTTGGTTGGCTGCTACCCTGTTCATTATTACTGGGATAGATACTGTTTTCAGGCCGTTTCAGAACAGATTAGGAAATATGCTTCCCCCTCACCCCTTTTCTTTTATCCTTAATTTATTTATGTTTTAGAGATAAAATATATCATGGTCTCTTTCTAATATTAATTCAAAATCTAGGCCTTATATTTAATCTTATAGGTGAAATGTTCTATCATCCATATCTGTATCTTTTCCCCATGTCAGAAAACCAATTTTTAAATGACATCAAAATAATTATTCATTTGCTTTAGTCCTGTAATACTTACATAGCAGCTTAGAATAATGGTACTCACACTGCTATAAACAATATGATTATTGGAAACAGCTTAGCATTCGGTTTTTATTTTGGCCTTAGAATGTATTCCACTAAGGCTCTTTAGGCAAATTAGCATGTTTTAATGCTACCTGAAATGATTCCTCAGTTCAGTTCAGTCGCGTCCGACTCTTTGCAACCCCATGGACTGTAGCACACCAGGCCTCCCTGTCCATCACCAACTCCCTGAGCTTGCTCAAACTCATGTCCATCAAGGCGGTGATGCTATCCAACCATCTCATCCTCTGTCATCCCCTTCTCCTCCTGCCAGGATCTTTCCTAGCATCAGGATCTTTTCCAGTGACTCGGCTGTTCACATCAGATGGCTGAAGTATTAGAGCTTCAGCTTCAGCATCGATTCTTTCAGTAAATATTCAGGACTGATTTCCTTTAAGATTGACTGGTTTGATATTCTTGCAGTCCAAGAGACTCTCAAGAGTCTTCTCTAACACCACCGTTCAAAAGCATCAATTCTTCAGTGCTCAGCCTTCTTTATGGTCCAACTCTCACATCCATACATGCATGACTACTGAAAAAACCATAGCTTTGACTCCTACTGTCGTCAGAGTAATGTCTCTGGTTTTTAATATGCTGTCTAGGTTTGTCATAGCTTTTCTTCCAAGGAGCAAGCGTCTTTTCATTCCATGGCTGCAGTCACCATCTGCAGTGCTTTTGTAGCCCAAGAAAATAAAGTCTGTCAACTGTTTCCACTGATTCTTGGAGAGGAGCAAACTCAAAACATAGTTAGGTGGGTTTATTTTTGATTTTGCTTTAGAGTTTTTAGGGAATTGTTCTTTAAACTTTGTTTTTGTAATTATGTAAAATACATGGCTCCAAAGGCAAACATGCAGATGAATTATGTTCAGAAAGTTCACCTTTCCCTGTCTCCTCTTTTCCTGTTCCCTCCCTCCCTGATAGATAATTGTTAGTGTTTAAAGGTTTTGATTTATCATTATTTGTATTCCCCCCCACCCCGTGTTCTTAGATAAATGGTAGTATAACATAAACACTTCCGCCACCTTTCTCTTACCTTCTGACACTCTATCCTGGCATTCCCTCGGCCACAGTATGCAAAGCCCCTCCTCATTCTCTTCTGCCACCTCCTGGGAGCCCTTGGCATGGGAGAAACAGCTTTTTCTTTCAGCCCCCATCATCTGGAATTTGTGCTGTTTCTAGTCATTTCTGTTACAAGTAATGCTGTGATGAACAGGTTATGCATGGAAATTTATATTTTGCCCAGTTGTCTTTGGGATATTATATATATCCCCAGAAGGGGGAATGGCTGGCTTAGAGGGCACATATAATTCTAAGACTATTACAGCGTTCCCCTGCATAGAGACTGGACCATTTTGTGTTCATGGTGACACATGCCAACACATGGCCTCGTGTGTCATCACACTTTGGCACTGTGTTGGTCTGATAGTTCAGCAATGGTATCTTGGTGTCATTAATTTGCATTTCTCTTGTCAGCACAGTTGGCCATCTTTTCCTATGATTCAGAGCCACCTGCATGTATGTTCTTTTCTCTAAGAAAATTATATTTCTAGTCCCTTTTTCTCTAGAGGGGGTTGGTTCTTCTCCACAGTAATAGTATTTTTTTAAATTAATTTCACAAACAACTATTTGAGAGTTACTGCTCCAACTACTGTGCGTGGTGCTCGGGAAACAGCTTGGTACAAAATGTCTGAGACCTTTTGGTGTGAGTTGCTGTTGTGCTTTAATTTTAGGAGAACTCACTGTGGCTCCCAATTCAGTACTGAATTAAGGAAGCACACCATTTTGAAGGGGTGTGGTCAGCACCGGATACACAGTGAGAGGCTTGGGAGATAGACTGAAGCAGAAAGTGTAGACAGTAGCCTGCCAGCTGCATGGCTGACTCGTGTTGAGTTTTGCCACACAGCAGTTTTTTAAAATTTGAATAACAAACATTTAAAGCCATGAACTTTCACATTAAAGTCAAGATTTCTGGACTTTGGGGAAACCCATAGGATGTATGAGCACTGGTTCCCACTCTTGCATGGCAGCGTTCTCCAGATGGGACTCTCTCCATCTCACCCCGATCCCTTCACACCTAATACGTGCATGCTCAGAGTGGGAGCCATTGTCATGGATGGATTTGAGCACTTGGAATGTGGCAAGTCTGAACTGGGATGTCGCATTCTGTTTACTGTGGACAGCAGAACATTTAAAGTGAAACATGAGGCCCTCATTTTATTTTTGTTGGCTGTACATTCTGCTTGCTTCAGTCGTTTACAGTTTTTGCCTAAGTTTCTGTGGACACTGGAGCTTTTAAACTGCAGCTCTTAATTTAAAATATTAAATTAATGTGACCATGTTCTTGATTTGAGAAAATAAGAACGTGTGTGTTTTGCAAATGGGTGACTTTTCATAGGCCTCTGAGCAGTCATGAGGCCTGTTTATACTTGATCTGCTCCAGCAGTAGAGGGTGAGACAATGCTGGAAATACTGGGTTGGCCAAAATCTTTGTTTCAGTTTTTCCGTAACAGCATGCCAACACCCGAACGAACTTCTTGGCCAATCCAATATTTTAATTTCTAACAGAATTGACTTGGAATCTTGGTTGTTGGGCAGTGTTTTTCAAATCTTTCCAAAAGTTTTTTTTTTAATTGAGGTGTCCTTTATGTATCTTAGGTATACTCTTCAGTCCTCTGTGACAGTTCATTTCAAGGCACAGAACATGGGTCATCTCAGAAGCTCCTGCCTGCCCCTTGTCCAGCAGCCCTCTCCTCCTGGAACCACAGCTCATTCAATTTCTGTCACTGTCATTTAGTGCTCCTGGTTTTATTGTTGTTAGCTTTATGGATTGTTTGTATTAATATGTCTACTAATATGTGACCCATTGATCTTGACTCCTAAAAGTAGCATTGGTTTGTAGAGTAGTTCACTCACTGCTTTAGTACACATCCTTAGGTGAGACTCTATTATTATATATATATATCTTGGTAAACATGTTTTATTGGATGTGTGTGGTTCTCCCTTCTTTTTCTTTATCAAGGAGCTCTTATTCCCAAAACATTTTTTGTTTTGTTACTTCTTTATTCACATGTGCCCACTTCTTTTTCACTCTATGGACCATGCTGGCACCAGTTTACATTGACACTGTTAGTGGTTCCTTAAGTAGAGATCAAGTCCATTATGAAATCTCCTGCGGTGAAACGATCCCAGAGTGTGCAATGGGCCAGCTTCAGTGACTCATGAGTTTTCAGTTATTTCAGTACTGCTGAAAGAAAGAGGTTCAATTAGCTACTGTGTCTGTCCCCAAGGCCTGCCTGCACAGGCAGCTCTTTGAATATACCTTGATTGTGACTTCTTCATCCCTGTCTTACAGGCCAAACTGCCCGACTTGCAACCATTCCCTTCTCCCGATGGAGACACTGTGACCCAGCATGAGGAACTGGTCTGGATGCCTGGTGTTAATGACTGTGACCTCCTTATGTACTTGAGGGCAGCAAGGTAATAGGAGTCCACACCCTCCTGCTTTCTGAATTGATGAGTGGTCAGTAAACTTTCCCCTTTCCCTTGAAGTTGTGTTTATATATTGGGCATTCTCTGGCTTTACGTTTTGTTACGCTCTCTGTAATCAGAGCCTTGCTCCTTCTTACTGGAGAAACACAACTTTCGATGTTGAAGTCACTTTTTTCTCCTTGATGTTTGCCCCAACACAGATTTTAGAACTTTTCAGAAAGAAAAGATCGTAAGTCACACATTCCAGTATCAATGCTTCTAATACAGTTGAGTAATTGGCTCATTCAGTGCATCTTAAAATTCCATTCCATATTTCTTTGTTCCATGGCTGTTCATTGGTACCCGACCTAAACTTTACATTTTGAGGGCTTACCTATATGAATACTTGCTAACCTGAAAATGCCTAAATTACAAACGAGAAGTTCACGTCTGTCCCAGACATGTCACAGTGCAGGCAGGGCCTTCCTCTGTCTGCAGGGGTTTCTGGGACTCACTCACTGCAGTATCAACAACAGGCAACAGAAATGTTGAAGTAAGGCAGTGGTGGAGGTATAACTCTGGCTGCTGTGCGGTCAGCATTGTAACTTGGAGGCTACAGTAGAGATGGAGGCTTCAGGGCAGGGGTGACTGCTAAGAGTTTTTTTCACCTCTTCTGTGTTTGCTTAGAGATGGTTAATGTACAGCATGAGAAGAGTTAAGTAAAATTTCAAAGGATTCAGTTTTACATATTTTCTGGAGACCTTTCAAAAGTTTATAATCCAGCTGATGATTCTGGCAGATAGTTTTAGATTATTCACGCCCTCAAAACTAAAATCTAAGTACTGATAAAGCATGGGAAGAAAAACAAATGGAATCAAATGAGAATAACATTTCTCTTTCTCAGTGAGTAAATAGTGAACTGCCGAGAAACAAAAAAAAAATGTTTAAGATGAGAGCAGAAGCAGGCCTGAGAACTCTGGCTTAATCGCGTGTATAGTGGTGGACTTTGGTCTGGGCTGGAGCTGTGCTCTGAGAACCGAGGGCTGAAATGTCTGCTCTGCTGTCTTCTCTTCCCGTCTCCACAGGAGCATGGCAGCCTTCGCCGGAATGTGTGACGGAGGCTCCACGGAAGATGGCTGTGTGGCGGCCTCGCGGGATGACACCACCCTCAACGCGCTGAATACGGTGAGAAGAAGCAAACTCTTCTTTCTCCTGTGCCGGCCGTAGGGAGTCTGTGGTGATGGTCCGTGACGGGGTCTGAAGTCTCAGGAGGCAGTGCTGTGGGGTGCTGCTGGACCTGAAAGATGGGAGTCGTGGTCCCGGTGGTGGGCTCCCTGACCTTGGCCAGTGATGTGGCACCTCCAAATTGACCTTGTGATCTGTGTTTGCGCTCTAGGACTGTGGCGAGCCTCTGCCAAGAGCCTGGTGATAGTGGTCAGAGTTCACTGAGATCTCACAAGCCCAGTAGTAGGCACAGTGATCTTACTGAATCCTCACAGCGCCCCTTTTAGGAAGGCTCCATTATTACCACGTGTGGACACAGGCAAGTGAGTTGAGAGCAATGGAGTCACAATCCACAGTCATACACTTAAGGTGTGAATCCAGAGGCCCTGCTTTCCAAGCCTTCATATATTCTTTGAACAAATTTGGTTTTTATAGATTTGGCTTTGGAGCCATGTAAATATTTCAGATGTTTATAAAACAAAGTTAAATTTAAAAAAATAAAATCCTTAAAAGAAACTAAGGTAAAATGTAACCCACGAGCATAACAGTACTGAGTTGGTTGCATCACATATCCTGTGTTGAGCAGTCATCTGCTTTAATCCTATAACTCCACGGCAGCCCAGAATAACCCAGCTTGAGCCGCTGCTAGCAGCAGGATTCCTGAAACCAGTTTACTTCTGTGCACGCTCCTTTTTGACCTCAGAGAATATCCTGTGGGGCTGTATGGGACAATGAGTGTGTCACATAGTTCCTTGAAACAGTTCTTCTCCTGTGTGTTCATTAATGTGGAACGATCAGGACTGAAATAATGAATTTTTATGGATTTCTGATCTGTTCACAAAGAGTCTGCATGGTTCTATATACTTAGATAGGATATTAAGATGAGGCTGAGCAACTCTTGGTGATGATTAAGTTTCATTTAAGCACCCTTTTTGTCTGTCTTTTTCTTGAGAGGTTACTGTAATTGGAAGGGACTTCTTTCAGTCATCTGTTCCAGTCTCTAAATAGATTAGAATCTGAAGCACAGGAAGACCAGGTGACTTGTGTGATTGTTGTCAACAATCCAAAAAGTTGGTAACAGACCCCAATTTAGGGATCTTCCTGCTGTACAACTTCTTGTTGGGAAACATGTAGATATCTGAATGATATAGCCGGTTTTTATTCCTCTTCTAGTTGTGTTTCTTGAGTGTTATATAACATTATAATAGTCTCTTATATATTGGAGGTTGAATCACCTTGCTTGGGCATAAGCCATGTTCTAAATAAGTGAATGATTTTCATATTCCCATTTACTTTCTCACCTATTTGCTACTTAGAATTTTTGTGGTTATAAGGAATCCTTATTCTGAACATACAGTGATAGAGCCAGAGGGGGCCTTTGTGATTATTTTACAGATGAGAAAACTGAGACTCAGAAATGATGAATCTGCCAATAGTGGTTATGGCAGATGTAGCTGTGAATGTCTGTGAATTCAAAATACCCTAAAAAATGCGTGTATATTCAAAGTAACTCTTTGAAATGAGCTAGTTTTCTGTTGGGTTTTGGTATAAAAGCTTTATAAAAAAATATTCTCCTTTCATGACTCTGCTGATCAGTTGAATTTTGAGTAACAAAAATGTTGCCATATTTAATTAAATGTCTGTTTTTGACACTTTTTCTGAATTTATCTGATTTATTCTCTGTCTTATTCCAACCCGTCTAAAGATTCTGTGGAACGTACTTTTGTACAGAAATAATTTGAGCTATTTTTGCCTGTGGTCCTTTGTAGCAAGTTCCTTCTGAAATTTTCTTAAGCATTGCCAGAGGGTTTTGGTTTATGAGTTTTTGTTTCTGTCAAGCTACCTTCTCATCATTTGAAATTCTTCCTGCCTAGGCGAGCCCAGGGTGGCTCAGGTGTCAGATTATGCAATACAAGTGCATTTAGCCATCAAAAGCCTGAGTTGTGTGCTCATTTTATGATGAATGGAAACATTTAGTGGCTGTTTTAATTTTTATACTTTTGTTGTACTGGTTCATGGAGCATTTTAGTTGCAGGCACTTTCTTTAATGAGAAGTGAAGTGATTGGAAAAATCTTGAGAGAAGTTAATGTTTATTTCACATTCCTTGGAAAGAGTGTTTTGAGTTATGTTAAGTAGTAAACTAAAAAGATAAATTCATTGTCATGTGAGAAGTATTTATTATTTCTTAAAGTATAGCATAAAGTCAAAACAATGTAAAGCATTTATCAACTTAGAATAAACTTGTGTCTATTTCCTGTTTCCCAGGACAGTGTAGAAATTTAAAATATATGGAATCTGCAGTGTGGTTGCGTTATAGGATGTTTAGTAGCCCAGTAGGACTGTTTGAATTTCAGTTCAGTTCAGTTCAGTCTCTCAGTCGTGTCTGACTCTGCGACCCCATGGACTGCAGCACGCCAGGCCTCCCTGTCCATCACCAACTCCCCAAATAAAGAGTTTAATGTTTAAAACTGCAGTCACTAATAGAACATTTTTGAACTGTTTGTTCTTTATTACGATTTTGAGTGTACATGCTCAGTCAGGTCTGACTCTTCATGACCCTGTGGACTGTAGTCCACCAGGCTTCTCTGTCCCTAGGGTTTTCCAGGCAAGAATACTGGAGTGGGTTGCCATTTCCTTCTCCATATTACCATTATATGGACCTATTTTTAAATATAAGCTCCTCTGGGTTATTTAATTGAGATTTTTCTTCATTATTCCCAAATGAGAATTTTAGTGTATATTAAAAAAATTTATTGGAGTGTAATTTTTGTATAATAAACTGCTCTCATTTAAAGTATGCAATTTGATGAGTTTTTTTAGATGTGTATACCAGTGAAGCTACTACAGTGTTCAAGGTAGAAATCATTTCCAGCATCTCCCAAAAGTTGCCTCATGCTCTTTTATAATCCTGTGCTGCTTCTAGCCTCAGATAACCACTGATACATTTTTCTCATTATAGATCAGTTGCATTTTCTAGAATGTTGCATGAATTAGAATAATATTATATGTAATACTTGGGGTTTGGAGTCTTTCAGCCCAGTAATTTTATAGTAGATGTATGTTGTCACATTAGCAGTAGTGCATGCCTTTTTTATTGCTGAGTAGTATTCCAATCCATGGATATCAGTAGTATTTTATCCTTTCACCTGGTGATGGACATTTGGATTTTTTCCAAGCTTTTGGCCATTATGAATTGTTACACAAGTCTTTTTTTATAACGTATATTTTCATTTCTCTTGAGTAAATACCTGGCAGTGCTGGTAGCTTTTTAGAAACTTACCAAACAAGTTTCCACAGTGGCTGTACCGTTTTACATTCCCGTTAGTAGTGTGTTAGAATTTCAGTTATTTAGCATCCTCCACAAGACTTGATTCTGGGAGCCCAGATTCACAGACTTAGGAAGACAAAAGAGAACGGTGCTCCATGTACACAGACACAAACTAAAGGCTTGTGGTTAATTACACTGTAGTTTTAAGTTTCTACAGCCTTGCTGTCAGAAGCCACAGTTCCTTTAAGTCCTTCTGGATGCCCCACAGGGTATCTGCACTATTTCTGAGTTGGTCAACCTCTTCATCTTTCAGTTTCTGGTTGGTAAAACTGGTTAACCCCCGAGCATTCAGAATACATGGAAGGCTCAGGAAGACTTCATTCTCAATGTCCATACATGCCCTTCACCATTGTTGACACTGGATGATTCCTGAATAAATTTTTCAACATGGATTCAGTAACATCAGCCACACTTAATCTAGTAGCCCAGTTGGTATATCCTTTTAGTTTGATGACTTCATAGGCACTCTCAACTACCATCTTATGTACTTCCTTCCAGTTTTCCCTATTATTCTCTATTTCCATTTCTGGATTCACTTCCTGGAGAGAAATGCCGGGCACATTCACTCCACTCCACACAGCCATGCTTGAGTCGCCATGTTCTCCCAAAATCCATCTGTGGCAGCTGCTGAGATGAATGCCAAGTTTTTCATCCATTAGTTCAGTTCAGTCACTCAGTTGTGTCCAACTCTTGGTGACCCCATGGACTGGAGCATCCCAGACTTCCCTGTCCATCACCAACTCCCGGAGCTTACCCAAACTCATGTCCATCAAGTCTGTGATGCCATCCAACCATCTCATCCTCTGTCATCCGCTTCTCCTCCCGCCTTCAATCTTTCCCAGCATCAGGGTCTTTTCCAGTGAGTCAGTTCTTCTCATCAGATGTCCAAAATATTGGAGTTTCAGCTTTAGCATCAGTCCTTCCAATGAATATTCAGGGTTGATTTCCTTTAGGATGGACTGGTTGGCTCTCCTTGCAGCCCAAGGGACTCTCAAGAGTCAGATTCTCCAACTCCACAGGTCAAAAGCATCAATTCTTTGGTGCTCAGCTTCCTTTATAGTCCAACTCTCCCATCCATACATGATTATTGGAAAAACCACAGCTTTAACTAGATGGAACTTTGTTGGCAAATTAATGTCTCTGCTTTTTAGTATGCTGTCTAGGTTGGTCATAGCTTTTCTTCCAAGGAGGAAGCATCTTTTAATTTTCAGCCATAAGACAGCGAAATCTAGCAGAATCTAGATTACATCCACTTGCAATCACACAGTGCTTGGGCAATCCACTTGATTTCCAAGTAATGTATGTGAGAATATCTGCTGTGTTGGAAGCCCCAATGATGATGCAGTTTGGGACTGTACTTGACAATCTGAACAGTGATGAACTTGAAGACGTTAATGTCCTTTTGCACCAGATTCAGGTGCCTCTCCCCTTCTTGCTAGTGAACTCCTGCACTTAACCACCACAGTCTTGGAATTGGCAGTGACAGAGTAATCTTTGTCTGCCACGATTTTTGGTGTCTGAAGGAATAACCTCCTGTGCTGCAGGTCCATTATTTCTCCTTTGAGTTTATCTTCCAAAACATCCACAAGAGCAAGCTCATCAGTCAGAGACTTCCCCAGAATGCTGATGGCA